CTAATATCCTTTGTTCATTCCCTTTGTTCTGACATTCTCATTTCTACACCCTGGTCGTTTGTTCCATTGCGATGAAGGCTTCAATGAGCACAGAGGGCCTCTAACTAGATTTCTGCAGCTCTATCCAAGTTTATGCTTGCAAGTCTTTTAATCCATTCCATTAAACAAGACTGAGCTGCTCCATGCAGACAGCATCAGCCTTTGGGAGCAGGCTAGGTTGATGCACAAATGTTGAGTGACCTTGACTGAGGGGAAGAGAAAGTGTGCCTGAGAGGGACCTTACAGACCTCACAGTTCAACTGGTTATGGAAGAGTCACCCACTGCATAAAACAGAGAGCTACACGTCCCCCCACCTCATATCTCCAACACACTCATCCTGTGGTTTCACACCTTTGTTCTACTTCCCCATTCCAGACACTTCCAAATAAGTTATATAAACAGAGCAGTGAGGTATTTAAACCATAGGAGGAAGGAACTCATTTTTAAGATTACTACCTAAATGTGTTTTAATTGTTTTACTGAAATTTCATTACTCTGTATGTACAAGTCTAACATACAACTAGAGAGAGTTTCACAATGCTATTTTTAATGTGAACCTAACCTGGAAAGAGTAAACACATAGTGGCATAAATTTCAGAGTGGGAGCTATTCATAGAATATCAGGGCTAGAAGGGACCTCAGGAGGTAATCTAGTCCAACCCCCTGCTCAAAGCAAGACCAATCCCCAACTAAATCATCCCAGCCAGGGCTTTGTCAAGCCTGACCTTAAAAACTTCTAAGGAAGGAGATTCCACCACCTCCCTAGGTAACACATTCCAGTGTTTCACTACCCTCCTAGTGAAAAAGTTTTTCCTAATATCCAACCTAAACCTCCCCCACTGCAACTTGAGACCATTACTCCTTGTTCTATCATCAGCTACCACTGAGAATAGTCTAGATCCATCCTCTTTGGAACCCCCTTTCAGGTAGTTGAAAGCAGCTATCAAATCCCCCCTCATTCTTCTCTTCCGCAGACTAAACAATCCCAGTTCCCTCCGCCTCTCCTCATAAGTCATGTGTTCCAGTCCCCTAATCATTTTTGTTGCCCTCCGCTGGACTCTTTCCAGTTTTTCCACATCCTTCTTGTAGTGTGGGGCACAAAACTGGACACAGTACTCCAGATGAGGCCTCACCAATGTCAAATAGAGGGGAACGATCACGTCCCTCGATCTGCTGGCAATGCCCCTACTTCTACATCCCAAAATGCCATTGGCCTTCTTGGCAACAAGGGCACACTGTTGACTCATATCCAGCTTCTCGTCCACTGTAACCCCTAGGTCCTTTTCTGCAGGACTGCTGCCGAGCCATTCGGTCCCTCATCTGTAGCGGTGCATGGGATTCTTCCATCCTAAGTGCAGGACTCTGCACTTGTCCTTGTTGAACCTCATCAGATTTCTTTTGGCCCAGTCCTCTAATTTGTCTAGGGCCCTCTGTATCCTATCCCTACCCTCCAGCATATCTACCTCTCCTCCCAGTTTAGTGTCATCTGCAAACTTGCTGCGGGTGCAATCCACGCTATCCTCCACATCATTTATGAAGATATTGAACAAAACCGGCCCCAGGACCGACCCTTGGGGCACTCCACTTGATACCGGCTGCCAACTAGACATGGAGCCATTGATCACTATCCGTTGAGCCCGACCATCTAGCCAACTTTCTATCCACCTTATAGTCAGTCCATTCCTCTAGCCCATACTTCTTTAACTTGCTGGCAAGAATACTGTGGGAGACCGTGTCAAAAGCTTTGCTAAAGTCAAGGAACAACACGTCCACCACTTTGCTTCTTACAGAAAGTAGTTCTATAGTTCAATAATGAGTTACTGAGTAAGTAAAGTTGAGAAAGCTTTTTCCAGGGATAATCTGAAAGTCTTGTGGAGAGAAAGTAGTTTTGTCCTTTCTGAAGTCTATTTTTCATAGCAATATTATCCCATCCTGAGGCAGCTTAGTTAATACATTTTGCTTTGAAAAATTAGTTTAGCCATAAGTGTTTCTCTGTTCTTTCATTTGTGGGGCTTAAGACCTAATTCAGCCCTGGCAAAAGCACCACCCACTGACTTCAAATGAGAGGCCAGATGCTCAGGGAAGTGCTGAAGTGGACTTTGTCTTTCTCACTGGGCAGATATTTCTGGAGACACAGTGTGATAGGTTTGTTTATTGCACATTAGCAAACTGAAGGACTATTTTCTAGTAGGGTAACAACTTAATAAGCCTCTGGGGTAGGCCTCATTTTATACGCAATAATCAATATATTATGGAGTTTAATTACATGCACATCCTAGGGTGACCAGACATCCCAATTTTATCAGGACAGTCTCAATTTTAGGGGACTTGTCCCGCATCCCAACCTTACATCGGTCGGGATGCCCTTAGTCCCAACAGTGGGACCGTCCGGACCGCAGCCACGGTGCCACCGCTCACCGCTTCCTGGGGCAGCTCCCGGCACCTGCCCACCGGCAGGAGCGCCACGTGCTGCGGGGTGGGGCTTGTAGGCACCGGGAGCAGGCAGAGAGCCCTCTGCCCTGACCCGACCTGCGACCCTAGGAGCCAGAGGGACCTGCCTGCTGGATGCTTCCCGGGACGGGAGCTGCCCCAGGTAAACACCACTGGGACTCCCCACCTCGCCCCCCGGCAGGTTCCTCTGGGCTCCTAGGGTGCGGGGGCTCTGCGTGCTGCCGGTGCCTGCAAGCCCCGCTCCGCAGCTCCAGCAGCTCCCATTGGCGCTTTTCTCAGCCAATGGGAGCCACAGAGCTCACGCTTGTGGCGGGAGCAGCACGTGGTGAGTCTGGAGACCCCCTCGCCGCTCTCACCCTAGGAGTCAGAGACCTCCCAGCAGGGCTAGTGAGTGCAGCCAGGGAAGGGGGCAGGGTGTAATGGTGAGTGTCTGGAAGATGTGGGGGGGGAGGGGGGTGTTGGGCTGTGAGGGTGTGGAGGGCGCTGGGCAGTGAGGGAGGTTTGTGTGTTTTGGGGTGCTAGGCATTGGGGGCCTATTGGTGGGTGCTGGGCAGTACAGGAGATCTGTGTGTGTCAGGGCACTGTGGGTCTGTGTGGGGCATTGTGTAGTGTGGTGGTGGGGCTGTGGGGAAGGGCACTGGGAGGGAGGGGAAATCTGTGTGTATTCGGAAACCAGCAAGTCAGGGGTTCTGTGTGGGGTGCTGGGCAGCTGTGGTGGGGCCGTGGGGCGCTGGGCGGGGGGTTACGCACAGCACTGTGCGTTTGTGGTGGAAGGGTTGAAGGGGGGCTCTGGGCACAGTGGATCCAGGGGCGCGGGGCAGGGGAGCTGTGTGGCGCAGCGTGGGCCCACCCCCAACAGGAAGGGGCACGCTGGTAGCACAGGGCCAGGTGGCCAGTGTGCTCTGGCTCGGGCAGTGTCTGTCTCTTCGCCCCCGCCCACTGTGCCCCGATAGTTCACACGCGCGATCTGGTCACCCGAGCGCACCCAGACCGGTGTGAGAGGGGCCGGGGCCGGGGCAGGGGCAGGGGCCGGGGCCGGGGCCGGGGCCGCTCCCGCTCCTCCCCCCCCAGCGCAGGGAGCTGCGTCCGGACTCCACTGAGGGCTCAGGGGATGGAGAAGGAGCGCGGCCTTCCCCGGGGGGTCCCGGAGAGGAAGGGGGAGCTCGGCCGCTCCCACCTGCTGTTGCACGTGGCCCGGGTACTGCTCGATGAACTCGGTGAAGCGAATGTAGTCGGAGCCCAGGCGGCAGAGCCGGTTCAGGACGCTGCTCTCGCTGGGGTGCAGGAACGGCAGCTCCTGGGACACCTGCGGGGAAGCGAAGCCGGGTGAGCGCAGGGCCCGAGCGGGCGGGACGGCGGGGGCGGGGGCGGGGGCGGGGGCCGGGCCGGTGGTACCTGGAGGCCGCTCCTCTTGCTCCAGGTGAACGCGGCCCCGGGGTACCCGCTCAGCGCCAAGAGCAGCTCGTGAATCATCCTGGGAGCTGGAGCCGGCGGCCGACGCCTTCCACGCGCCTAGCGAGCTCCGCAAAGCCCCCTGGGAAGCGTAGTCCCGCTCCTCTCCCAGATCGAGGGGGAAGGCTGCTCCCGCAAAGCCCCCTGGGAAGCGTAGTCCCGCTCCTCTCCCAGATCGAGGGGGAAGGCTGCTCCCGCAAAGCCCCCTGGGAAGCGTAGTCCCGCTCCTCTCCCAGATCGAGGGGGAAGGCTGCTCCCGCAAAGCCCCCTGGGAAGCGTAGTCCCGCTCCTCTCCCAGATCGAGGGGGAAGGCTGCTCCCGCAAAGCCCCCTGGGAAGCGTAGTCCCGCTCCTCTCCCAGATCGAGGGGGAAGGCTGCTCCCGCAAAGCCCCCTGGGAAGCGTAGTCCCGCTCCTCTCCCAGATCGAGGGGGAAGGCTGCTCCCGCAAAACCCCCTGGGAAGCGTAGTCCCGCTCCTCTCCCAGATCGAGGGGGAAGGCTGCTCCCGCAAGCCCCCTGGGAAGCGTAGTCCCGCTCCTCTCCCAGATCGAGGGGAAGGCTGCTCCCGCAAAGCCCCCTGGGAAGCGTAGTCCCGCTCCTCTCCCAGATCGAGAGGAAGGCTGCTCCCGCAAAGCCCCCTGGGAAGCGTAGTCCCGCTCCTCTCCCAGATCGAGGGGGAAGGCTGCTCCCGCAAAGCCCCCTGGGAGCGTAGTCCCGCTCCTCTCCCAGATCGAGGGGGAAGGCTGCTCCCGCAAGCCCCCTGGAAGCGTAGTCCCGCTCCTCTCCCAGATCGAGGGGGAAGGCTGCTCCCGCAAAGCCCCCTGGGAAGCGTAGTCCCGCTCCTCTCCCAGATCGAGAGGGAAGGCTGCTCCCGCAAAGCCCCCTGGGAAGCGTAGTCCCGCTCCTCTCCCAGATCGAGGGGGAAGGCTGCTCCCGCAAAGCCCCCTGGGAAGCGTAGTCCCGCTCCTCTCCCAGATCGAGGGGGAAGGCTGCCCCCGCAATGCCCCCTGGGAAATGTAGTTCCCGACCGAGGCTCGTGGGAGGCAGCCGCTCAGCTCGCGCTCGCCCTTCGAAGGACCGCGGCCTGTGGGCGATCTCCACAGTGACAGAGCCTGTGTGGGGACTGTCCTGACCGCCTCCATGGCCCCGCGCCGGCGCGAGGATCCCGCTGGGGGAAAGGGCTGTTTTTTACTCGGCGTGGGAAGCGATTTGCTGGAACTCCAGAGAAATCTGCCCTTCCTGCAACCAGGAAGCTGCAGCTCCCGAGGAGAACCAGTGTGGCCAACTCCTGAGATTTTGTCACAACTCTTGTCATATTTGGGGCGGTTCTTAAAGCCCCAGCTGCTGGCATTGAAGATTGTGTGAGTATCTCAGCTTTCATTTAAGAAAAACATTCTAGCCCTCGTGGTTGCAAGAAAAGCTTCAAAATGTGAAGCAGGTGCCCCCAGCAGCACAGAAACCAGAAGGCAAATAAAACACACGCCAAATTTATTATTTTAAAAAAATCATTGTTTTTAAAATCTCATCATTTTTGGGGGGTTGACTCAAGAGCTTTGAATGGCTGGGTTTGATAATAGAATCACAGAATCATAGAATATCAGGGTTGGAAGGGACCTCAGGAGGTTGTTGCCGGCACCCGGTGCGGAGAGGCTAAACAACAGCTGGAGTTGGTTCGCTAACTGGTGTGCTACACCCAATAATCACAACGGGGTGGAGACGCAGAAAAGTTAATTTGCAGCTGCAAAAAGGTACAGGGAGAATAGAATCTCCAATCCTGCACACAGAGCAGGAAGTTACACAGGCTTTTATACATCCTGTTTTCCAGCATACTTATCCTACAGCAAGCTGCCCTAAGTATCCATATAGCCAGCCAATCCAGTTCCCAGCTAGTTCCCTTGTTCTCTGTATCATTTGTTAAACCATACATAAAGCTGCTTTATTCAGCATTGTTCTTCCATATCTGCCCTGTTTGGCCTTGCTTAGTTTCAGGCAGTCTGACTCTGCAACATATTGTTGCAGATTCTCAGCATAACTGCTGTGAGTGCCTCCAGGCAGGGGGGCCAAGGACACATGGGCCTAGTGCGAGGGGGCTTCATCGACATTCGTGGTCTTCCATTCCCTCGAGTTACCTAGTGGCCATGCCCCAGTGTCCCCAACAAGGTCATCTAGTCCAACCCCCTGCTCAAAGCAGGACCAATCCCCAACTAAATCATCCCAGCCAGGGCTTTGTCAAGCCTGACCTTAAAAACTTCTAAGGAAGGAGATTCCACCTCCTTCCTAGGTAACATATTCCATTGTTTCACCACCCTCCTAGTGAAAAAGTTTTTCCTAATATCCAACCTAAACCTCCCCCACTGCAACTTGAGACCATTACTCCTTGTTCTGTCATCTGCTACCACTGAGAACAGTCTAGAGCCATCCTCTTTGGAACCCCCCTTTCAGGTAGTTGAAAGCAGCTATCAAATCCCCCCTCATTCTTCTCTTCTGCAGACTAAACAATCCCAGTTCCCTCAGCCTCTCCTCATAAGTCATGTGTTCCAGTCCCCTAATCATTTTTGTTGCCCTCCTCTGGACTCTTTCCAATTTTTCCACATTCTTCTTGTAGTGTGGGGCCCAAAACTGGACACAGTACTCCAGATGAGGCCTCACCAATGTCGAATAGAGGGGAATGATCACGTCCCTCGATCTGCTGGCAATGCCCCAATGTATACATCCCAAAATGCCATTGGCCTTCTTGGCAACAAGGGCACACTGTTGACTCATATCCAGCTCTCATCCACTGTAACCCCTAGGTCCTTTTCTGCAGAACTGCTGCCTAGCCACTCGGTCCCTAGTCTGTAAAGGTGCATGGGATTCTTCTGTCCTAAGTGCAGGACTCTGCACTTGTCCTTGTTGAACCTCATCAGATTTCTTTTGGCCCAATCCTCTAATTTGTCTAGGGCCCTCTGTATCCAATCCCTACCCTCCAGTGTATCTATCTCTCCTCCCAGTTTAGTGTCATCTGCAAACTTGCTGAGGGTGCAATCCACACCGTCCTCCAGATCATTAATGAAGATATTGAACAAAACCGGCCCGAGGACCTTGGGGCACTCCACTTGATATCGGCTGCCAACTAGACATGGAGCCATTGATCACTACCCGTTGAGCCCGACAATCTAGCCAATTTTCTATCCACTTTATAGTCCATTCCTCCAGCCCATACTTCTTTAACTTGCTGGCAAGAATACTGTGGGAGACCGTGTCAAAAGCTTTGCTAAAGTCAAGGAACAACATGTCCACTGCTTTCCCCTCATCCACAGAGCCAGTTATCTCATCATAGAAGGCAATTAGATTAGTCAGGCATGACTTGCCCTTGGTGAATCCATGCTGACTGTTCCTGATCACTTTCCTCTCCTCTAAGTGCTTCAGAATTGATTCCTTGAGGACCTGCTCCATGATTTTTCCAGGGATTGATGATATTGGGATACTCCTGAGAAGGCTGTAACAGCCAAAAAAGGCTTGGGGGGAAGGAACCCCTTCCCAACACCTGTAACTGCAAATGTTGTGCCATCTGTGAGTATCAGACTTTGGAGATTCCTCATTGCCTGTAAGCATTGGGCTGGTGAGATTCCACACTGTCCGTGAGTGTCAGGGATCCTACACCCCAAATCAGTACTCCCTATGGTGTATCATGCAGTGAGAATCCTCCCCCCTGAACCCCAGCCTATGAGTCCGTGGGGATTTACACTGAGTGTATCAGAAAGTGGTTCCCACCAGGCATTACAGGCAGTGGGATTCACCTTGTGTGTCAAGCAACTGTTGTGTTCTTTCTGCTGGGTCATGCTGGTACTTGAGCAAAAGGGTAAAGTGTACTTCTTTAGTACAAATAATTTGCATTTTACAACACCATTTCATCCTGATTAATCTGAAATCACTTCTTAATCAATGTATACCATAGATCAAGCAACCTTTAGACGCAACAGTATACAACATGCTCCATCGCAGTCGGGGGTTGGAATAAGTAATGTCATTTGATGCTAAGACAAGTGCTTTACAAAAGTCTAAGTATATACCAACAGGGTTACCTCTATCAACCAAACTTGTACTCTCATTAAAGAATTAAATCAAGTTTGTTGGACAAGACCTATTTTGCATAAAATCATTTTGATTTGCATTAATCATTTTCCTATACTTTGATTATTTATTGATTGAATCCTGTATCAGCTTTTCCATTATTTTGTCTGGGATTGATGATGGGCTGACCAGCCTTTAATTGCCCTTTTCATCCTGTTTCTCCTTTTGAATATTGGCACAATAATTTGTACTCTTGCACTCTTATTTCAAAGTGTATTAAAAATTAACACAAATGGATCAGATATCTCCTCAACCAACTCTTTTAGGACTCCTGGATGAAAATTAATCAGGCCTGTGGATTTAAAGATATTTATCCATACTAGATGCTCTTTAACATCCTCCTTAGTTACAAATGAAAGTACTTCATCGTACTCATGTGATATGAATACATCATCTGGCTTTTTCCAAATACAGAACAGAAATAATTATGGAACGCTTCTGCCTTTTCTGCATCATTATTGACAAGTTTACCATTTTCATCTAACAATGGACCTTATGCCATTATTCAGATTTTCTTTATTCCTGTCATACTTTAAAAAAATCTTTGGTTGTCCTTAGCCCTGCCAGCCATGGACTTTTCCCTGTTGTCTTTACCTTCCTTCAAGTTTTTGCACTTCATTACTTATAATTTATACTGATTACTATCTGCTTCACCTGTTTTCCATTTGTTATATATAAGGGGTTTTTTTTATTTCTAATTGCTGCCTTCACTTCCCCTCTTAATCAGGAAGGGCTTTTAACTAAATTGTCCTCTGTTGTGATTGTGGAATTGTAGCTCTTTGGCTATCTAGTAAATTCTTCTTAAACAACCCCCAGTGTTCCTTTAAATTTTTCTGTCTTAAATTTTTCCTTCCAATCAATTTTGTGTATAATTTTCCTCAGTTTGGGAGGCAGTTAGTCCTTTTGAAGCATCAAGTATATTCATTACTCATTGGAACTGTCCTCTCCTTGCCCATAATTTAATATAATCGGCTGATGATCACTGGTCCCCAGGCAACCACCAACTTCCAGTCCATTAATTCATCTTTATCCATCATACTGAGGTCTAAAATAGATACCCCATATTGGATGCAATACCTATTGTGTCAGAGAATTATAATCTATCATTTTTAGAAACTTCAGTGTTGTTTTACCACTGGCTCCATGAGCCTTCCAGAATATGTCTCCCAGATTAAAATCTCCCATCATAATACAGTTTTTCTTTCCACACATTACATACAGGTACATAAAGAATAACTCATCCAATTCTCTGGTTTGATTTGGTGATTTGTAAGGCTACAATTTTGTCATGGATATTTTTAGTAAAAATCAGGGACAGGTCACGGGCAACAAACAAAAAATCATGGAAGCCATGACCTGTCTCTGACTTTTACTAAAAACATCCCTGACAAAATGGGGAGAGAGGAGGGTCCCTCACCTTGCAGTGGCTGGGAGCTGCAGGGACCCCATTGACCAATAGCTGGGCGGGGTCCCCCCACTGCCCTGTGGGACTGGGAGCTGTGGGGGGTTTTGGGGAGCTGCAGGGGGCCCTCTGCCATCGCTGAGCAGCTCTGGGGTCCCTCTGCTGCTGCTGGCTGGGAGCTGCAGGGGGCTCTCCCTCGCCTGAGGCCACTGAGCATCTCTGGGTTCCTCCGGCGGCGGCAGCTGAGAGCTGCTGGGGGGCCTACCTGCTCGCCGCGACTGAGCCACTGTAGTGGGGACCCCTGCCAGTGGCAGTGGCTGGGCAGCTCAGGGGTCACTGCCAACGGCAGTAGCTGGTCAGTTGCGGGAGGTTCTACGGAGGCTGGGCTGCTGTGGAGTCCCCCTTCGCCAGCAGCAGCTGGTCAGCTGCGGGGCCCCCATTGTCACAGAAGTCACTGGAAGTCACAAATTCCATGACTTCTGCAATCTCCGTGACATAATCTTAGCCTTAGTGATCTGTAACTGACTACCACCAGTGCCTCTCCTGGGTTTTGTTAGCTACTACACTGATCCATAGATTCATAGATTATAAAGCCAGAAGGGACCACTGTGATCATCTAATCTGATCTCCTGTATAACGCAGGACATAGGATTTCCCTGAATTAAGTCCTGTTTGAACTACAGAATATCTTCTAGAAAAGCATCCAATTTTGATTTAAAAATGTACTGTGATGAAAAATCCATCACAATTCTTGGTAAATTGTTCCCATGGTTAATCACCCTCACTGTAAAAAAATGTGTGCCTTAATTCTTGTGTTGTTGACCTAAGGAAGAGTTCTGTGTAGCT